TGAGTCAGTACTTGGCAGGGTCTTTCACATGGTGCTGGCTTTACAGTTGTGAGAGATACAAGAGTGAGGAGTCACCTATTCTTCCTCCATGGTTTCAGAGAGGCCAGGACACATGCAGGAGAGGAATTCTTGCATAAAAAAGGCCCTGAGGGGCCATTGCATGGAGTTATGAAGGTCCAGCCTGATTGGGAATGGAGATTCCAAGATGTTGGCGATGCCAAAGCCATAAGACATCTGCTAAAAAGAGCTGTATACAGGGAATGGCACCAGCCCAAGAAAGACTTGTATGCTGCAGGCATCAAAGCTGGAGGGGCTAAGTTATCCAAGTTCTTTGGAACTGAAGTCCCAGACATCAGAAATGGAACCCACAGGATTTGGTGTTTGTCCTGTTGGTTTTCAGTCTTGCTCTGGTATGGTGTTTACTTAATATGTCTTCATTCATCCCTTTTGGAATGGGTATGTGTATTTGGTTACACATGATGCTGAAAGTATATAATTTGTTTTTTTGATTTTGAAGTGAGGCTGTAGTTTAGAGAATGCTTTGAATCTCAGAGGAGGCTTTGGACTTTTGAATAGCATTGTTGAGACTGTAAAGACTATGTGGATTTTTAAATTTGGACTAAACACATTTTTGCATTGTGGTATGGTCCAGAGCCTATGGATACTAGGGAGTAGAATGTGATGGTTTGAATGAGACTGTTCTTCCTCAAGTATCTGAATCATTTGTCCCCAGTCTGTGGTACTGTTTGGGGAGGGTCATAGACCCTTTAGGAGGTATGACCATGCTGGAGGAAGTATGTCACTAGGAGTGGGTTTTGAGAGTTCAAAGCCACGTCCCACTTCCAACTTCTCTCTCTGCTTCCTATGCCTGCCTGAAGATGTGAGTGCTCAGTTTTCTACTCTGCCACCTGTCTCCTCCTGCCCTGCCCGACCCAACATGATGGACTCTTATTCCTCTAGAACTGTTAGCCCAATAAAGTTGTTCTTCTATAAGTTATGTTTGGGGAGGGTCATAGACCCTTTAGGAGGTATGACCATGCTGGAGGAAGCATGTCACTAGGAGTGGGTTTTGAGAGTTCAAAGCCACATCCCACTTCCAACTTCTCTCTCTGCTTCCTATGCCTGCCTGAAGATGTGAGCGCTCAGTTTTCTACTCTGACTGTCACCTGTCTCCTCCTGCCCTGCCTGACCCAACATGATGGACCCTTATTCCTCTAGAACTGTTAGCCCAATAAAGTTGTTCTTCTATAAGTTGCCTTAGGTATGTAGTTTTATCAAAACAACAGGAACATAACTATGCAGCATATTAATTAGGCCATTGGTGTAGCAGGTGGTTGACCATCAATCTAAGACCTTCTAGAGAGTCAAGCCTATGTAAAGCCTTTGATCCATCAGCTCCACACTTTTGAACTAAGCCTGGATAAGTGCCATGCAGGCCACCACTGTGTCTCATGATAGCAGAAAACAAGGTACTTTGAGAGCACAACATCTACACCTAAGACTGAGTCAGTATCTGCATGAAAATGCACATCATAGCTGTAGTTGGATTCAAATGCTACAGTTCATTTTTCTGAGTCCAGACAACTGGACCTTCAAGTTGGTGGTCAGCTGCAATAAATACAAACACGGGAGGTCAAGAGCAAGAAACTACAAGGCAAAGCAGCCAGTAGTACCCAAGGACCTAGCTGATTCCCTTGTCTTCCTACGGCTTCACCAATTATAGGTTTCCTTCAACCTCATTCTACACTCCAGTAGGCTGTCTTCACTCTTTTTGGCTTTGAACCCTTAGGTGCATTTGGTTTTTTCATGCTATATATGACTGATTGAAAATTTGTCACTGTCTCCATGAATTAAAGCACCAAAAGACAGCCGAGTGAGGTCCTCAAACTCCAGAACAACCTTTTCTTGTTTCCAATGTGGAGCAGCAAATCTATAATCTCAGATTATCAAGAACAAATACTTTCATTCTTACCTTCTTGTTCCAGTAAAAAGAACCTAAACAGACCAGACATAGTCACAGTTCAGGTCAATGTAATACTATTATGTTTTTGTGGTAGCAACATCAGTTCCTCCTCCTCCTCCTCCTCCTCCTCCTCTTCCTCCTTCTCTTCCTCCTAAACCAGCATCTCTTATCTGTCAGACCTGCTACATACAAGGGCAGAAAGTACAAATATGGAGCTGAGTCACTGATCATGACGATGAGAGGCATGGTGGTTCTACTCCTGTCCCTCAACTTCTGCATCATGTACTGATCATACTACGCCATGGTCAATCATTAGTTCAAGGCATGTACCATACTAGAGAATATCTCCTCAGCTCCACAGATGTTTCTCTTAGCTGGCATAGCTAAATCTTTAACATATCATTAAATCCCCTTATGAAGAAATTACATACACAAAAGACAAAAATATGTGGAATCCTTCATTTAATTTATTTTTCTTTCATTTCATTTTTTAGCCATAAAATGAGATCCTTTTGTTTGAAGTAAAGTTGTGTGGGAACTCAAGTAAGTAAATCACTCATTCTTTGAGCCTTCCCATGTTGGTGGCAAATAATAATAATAGTAATAATAATAATAATAATAACAATAATAGAATAAACAGATTCAAGTGTTTATAGCTGATATAATCTGTGAATTATTTCTCCCATATTTTTGCTGATTTATGAGCAAATCCATCCACCCATCTTCTCTGCTCCCGTTCTTTTAAGAACACGAGATGTTGCTAGGAAGCCAGGAAGTTAATCTGCTTGTCCCATGTCCATTTGAATATGACAAGTTCACTCCTGTCTCTGATCCTAAATGCTACTTAACTTTTGCTACCTATATCTGCTCTTATAAACCCCAACTTTATTCTGGTGACTCCTTTGCTGTTGAAGACCTCTGTTGACCTTGAAGTGGCATCCCAACATTGAACTCCATTATAACTATTCTCTTAGTTAATTCCTATGCAGCTTAAAATCATCACCCTAAATGCACTACAGAGGGTGGACAGGGTCATCGGGGACTTCTTGATCTACCCACATGCTGGGAAAGACTCTGATATTTAGACCCTGTATTGAGTTCCTTTTCTTACTGAAGATTTCTACTGGGGACCTCATATACTCTTAAATATCTGAGCACCTTGAAATAATCTTTCCACCTTATAACTTGCAATAGTTTATCTAAACAACTATTAATAAAATGAAAATTCCCCAGCAAAAATAAAATGGCAAAAGGGAAGGTACAGAACACTTGGTCACTTCCTGAGCAGAGATCTTCTTATATTTATTATCCAGTCACACTCCGTGGTGTTTGTAGAAAATTTGCATATCCCATGGCCTCTGGCCATTTCTGCCTGAGATATTCTGTCTCTGTAATTTAATTAAAATATTCATGTTCAAATACAAGTAGAAGAAACTCAAGCAGACTTCCTTCTCTTGGGGAGGAAAGGGTGCTAGTATCTGGGAGAGAGGTAGATACTTGAGGGTTTGTGCACAGGAAGGAGATGTTTTTGCAAGGCTATGGCTAAACTGCTTGCACAAAGGTATGTGGCTGAGTCCCCCAGTTTTGCAGGATTGATCTTCAGAGTGAAATTTGATCCATCAGGCATTTCAACTGAGAATCGATCTTTGAACAGTTTCAGACTTCTCCAAGGGGTCATCATTATAGAAAGAAACCAGAACCTCTATCTGCTGTCCCAAGGTCTGTCTGTACCAATAGAAGTATAAATGACCAGAAATATGGTCACAACTCAGTCATCATATGACTTGATGGCTTGGGATCTGTATGACTTTAGGTCCTGTATCTCCCATGGCAAAAGAAAGAGGATTAAGGAAATGGTTCAAATTGTCTACATCTAAGATGAAAACTGCCTAGATTCCTAAGAATCTACCTGCTTTCAGGAGACCAAAAATTATCCACATAGGAGCCAGGTATCCATAGCAGAGTCACAGCAGGAAAGTTTCTCTTGGCTCAGTTTACTAGGCATTAAAAACAGGGGCAGGACATGCAGCTTTCCTGTGGTCCCATACATGAGGTCTGACAGAGTTATTGGTGACTGGCAATGCCGAACATCCCCAGAGCACCCTCTACAGGAAAGACAAGCAAACCTTTGTGCTATGCTATGCATACACCTTAACACCCCTGGGCTCAGGACTCTGTTCTGCCTATGGGATCTGATGGTGTGCATAAGACAGAGGGTCATTACTAAGAGTAATGAGGGAAAATATAGAACTCAACCAAAAGAGCTCCAAGAATAAAGACCTGCTCAGAAGAGGTTTTCTTCTTCATTACGTGTTAAGTAACAATCAGAGACATCAGACTGTACAGCTGACAATACAGAGAATGATATTTTAGCATGAAGATCAAAGAGAGAGAAGGGGGGCTGGAGAGATGGCTCAGTGTTTAAGAGCACTGGCTGCTCTTGCAGAGGACCTAGGCTTGACTACATAGCAGGTAACAACTGTTCCTAACTGCAGATCCAGGGTATCCAATGCCCTCTTCTGACCTCCGCGGGCACTGTACAACATGGGTGCACCTACTGACATGCCAGCAATACACTTATACACACAAAAATAAAAGTAATAAGCAAAATATTTTTTAAAAAGATAGAAGGATAAAGAATCATACATGAAAGTGTTGAAATTTCCAGGGGAAGAGAGAAACAAAGGAACAGTTGAGATCCTGAACATAAACAAGAGAGCCACTGACAACCATGATCCAGACTGCATGGGGAACAATGATCCTGGGAGACAGGAATTGACAGAGCCTCTTGGGGAGGAGACAAGGTATCATGGAAACTGTCTGAGCATATTTGGAGCTGGAATACGACTGACATTGAGGATCTTTTTGGAATGAGAAGTCCCATCAAAGTACATTTTGGAAGGAGCATTAGGGAGACACTAAATTAAGTGATTTGCTAAAGATTTCCCAGTAGTGCAAACTCACTGATGAAACTTAAAAGAACTTAAACTCGAGATTCTGTCTTCTATTCAACTGCAGACACAGTCTTGCTCAAGCCTCAGGTGGCTGTTGTGTGGACACAGAATTTGTTACTGTGGTATCCAGTGAATTGACAGGTGGTAGTGTGGGCTGAGGTATCTGCTTGAGTGCTGTGGGCTGCTGAACTAGTCTCAGGACTTGTTGCACCCACAACTTCCTGGCTAGGCTGAGGAGGTTTGTGTATAGGGAGACTAAAGCCTTGCAGGGCTGTGTCTTGGCTGCTGGCACACAGATATGTGGCTGAGTCTTCTGGCTTCAGGGCTGCCACTTGAAGTTTTAAGTGGGACGTCTCTGAATTGTCAGGTGTAAAGCGACTTGAAACAGTCTGATTTTCAACAAGTTTTTTATAGTTGTAGGAAAACATGAGCTCAAGGGACTTCTTAGAACCCTGTCTGTACCAATACATGGCATTGTGTCCCAGATATTGTTTACAACTCAGGATCCTTTCATTTCCCACAGCTGTGACCAGATGTTTTGGTGTCTGGATAATTCTAGGCTCCCCTGGACCTGTGGGAATAAAATAAAATGCATTTAACCCTTGGGAGAATGTTATAAGAAAATTCCATGAAAAGCTAGAAGCACATTGACCCAGAACATGACTCACCTGCTCCAAGGAGGCAAAGGGCCAGCCAGAAGAGCCTGGAGCCCACGGTAGTGTCACACGGGATGAGACCCATGTCTCCTTCTCAGGGTTCTGGCTGTCTGGGTGCCTTTCCCTGGCCCTGGGAGAGGTTTGCTTGGCAGATCACAGCTCCTGTAAGTGGCTACAGCTCACAGTTCCTCTTTGCCCTTGTGCTTGTCAGGGATGAGCACACATGCACAGACTCCAGGCACACCATGCCCAGCTGCCTCCCGAGGTGTCTCAGACGGCTGCCTGCATGAGCAAATGGGACTCTCCTTCTTCCTTCTGCTTTGTAGTGCTGCCCCCATCTGTACACACTGGGTCACTTCCTTTGTGTAGACACCCTGCCGTTTACCTGTTGTGGACCCAGAATAAGCACACCCAGTCTTTCTCTCCCTCATTCTACATCAGAGAGACAGCCTCCTTTCTCATTGGAACCCTTCCTGAAATACCATTTCAAGACACAGTAATTTAATGCTGACTATATAATACTACGTAGGAAGCACCTTTGTGGTTCTGAGAAGAAGGAGAGGAGCTGCTGCAACTCCTACTCCAGGGAGCATCTCATACCCCAGGGCCTCAGTGTGGAGCAGAGGAAAAGATGTGTGCAGAGCTGGACAAGAACAATCGGCCTCCAGAGTCCTAGGGATTTCAGGGACAACGCCCTACATACGGTCTTGGGATGTCCAACGTAGCAAGGACTTTAGTGTCTTCAAGCTGTACTCACATCATCGCCCTGCAACCAGAGCAAGGAGCAAGCAAGGCCTGAGGTCTAACCCCCTCTGCCTTCACCAACCTCAAGAGTTTCGGTGAAGTCACAGCTCTTCCTAGAGGCCAGAGCGATACATTACCTTCCTCCCGGTCATCAGACGTCAGTACATCAGAGCATTAGCCCAAGATACAGCGGACAGGCAAAGCAGGAGAGTTCAAGGCAATCTAGAGGCCAGAGCGATACATTACCTTCCTCCCGGTCATCAGACGTCAGTACGTCAGAGTATTAGCCTGAGATACAGCAGAGAGGCAAAGCAGGAGAGTTCAAGGCAAG